ATAGTCATTGTAACACCTGAAGACATTTTACAAAATATAGATGAATTTATAAATAAGTTGCCAGTAGTCCCATTACTCATCAGCTATCACATTATTTCAGAAGTTTCTCATCAAAAAAATATATCGGTATCTAGTGAGTTTAAAAGTTAAGCACATATTCATAAAATTTATTGTGAATACTATGAAACACACAATATTATACCAGCATCTGGAAATATTTTTAAAGAAAGATGAAAGTTACAATTCAATATTGGAGTACAATATGTATTTATATACAAATAATAAATAAAATATATATATATATATGTATAAAAGATAATAAGCATAATGTAATTAAATAAATCTAATTTAATTAAAAATAAAAATTAGCTCCTTTGAATAGTTAAACAAATAACAGTATAAAATATAAAATCATAATAATTAGCCATTAGGTAAATATACATTTTTAAATATTATACTATTAAAAGTATGGAAATTAAAATTAAAATTACTGAATTCATATAATATAAATATATTATTTAAAGATAACAATATAATAAAATAAAAATAAGCTTCTTTGCATAGTTAAACAAATCATAAATTAAGGAAGTATAATGTTCTCATCAATATACTCAAAAAAGTATGGAAATTAAAATTTAGATGGCTGAAAACACTTCAAAAAACTTGACTATTAACATATAAATAAATCACAGGTGATTAGAACTATTACTTATTAGACGAATATTATCATAAAAATAGCTGCTATCAATAATAATGCACCGGTTTTGTCGTTACTACATATATATTTATATATATATTAATATTAAACATATCTGTGGTCGTTACCTATTTATAGGCATCTGATGGACTATAAAACGAGAATAATAATAATAACACGTTAAATGGGAGAGCCCAAGATTGTACCGAAACGACATCATACAATATCAACTGATTAAATGACATTTTACAGTTAATATCTCAAACGTAAAAAAAAATATTTTTCAATATTTCATGTGAAATATTTCAAATTTACAACCCTAGGTATATATAAAGTAATATACTTATATATACCATACATTTATACAACACTATAAACCTATATTTTTTCTTATTTTTTTCAAATCGAATATTACCTAATAATAAACATTTAAAAAAGATAAAATTAAAAAACAAAAATTTTATTTTAAGAAAAATAAAATGAACGCTTTAGACAATATTTTATACTAATTATATACACAATGATTTATGTAATTAATTTAACAATAAATATATTTTATTAGATTGATTACATAAATTAACTGTTTAATTATATATAATAAAATAATCTTTGGGTTACAATTTTTTTCTTAACTTTTGAGAAACGAAAGATTCAATAATGTTATTAAAATTAATGGTTTTTATTGAATCAGCTTCAATGTGGAGGAGTACAAATCAATTAAGATGATTTTCTCCCATAAATGATCTTAATTAAGTTTTGACGTGTTTTAGTGTAAAAAAGGCTTAAATATCATTCTTAGAACAATATCAGTATAAGGATAGATTTCAATAAGCTATTTTACCATATACCACATTAAACACATTGAACACTTTTAAGTACAATTTTATTTTCCTTTTATACAATTTTAAGCGTGTCCTAAGGTGAATATATGCATTTATGAATGATATTTCTAAATATTCCGGATGTACTTTCTAAAGTAATTAAGCTTTTTTGCACGTCTCTATGCTGGTGATGGTTATTAGAGAAATTAAAAATTGTTATAAATAGAAAAGTTCAACAATATTTTTTAAAATACAAATATTGTAGGTATGTATTTCAAACACACAACAATACCGAAAAAAGGTATAAAAGTTAAAAAAAAAATCATTAACACATCATAAGCAAATGCTATAAGTTTTTGCATCCCCAAAAAATTTGCCTCTTGGAGTATTTCGTGGTGTTTGCCCTTTTTGTCCCTCCTTTTAAATGAGTCACTGCTCCTTGGTCGTGCGTACGAATTTTACGCGGCAATAAAATTTTACATATTTTAAATATAAACGTGTAAGATATGAATGAACCAAAACTAAATACCATTTACATCGTTCGAATCCCAATTCCATCAGTGATACGACGCGTTTTCTTTAATCTCGATGAGTCAACTCACATACAATATAAAGCTAATGGACACAACATTCATGCCCCATAACCGAGCCACTGTTCATATACATTGTGGTCACGTGTGCACCCAGAGGCCATCAAACGTTACGGACCACAGTTCCGCGCACGGACGTGTCGTTGTTATAATATGCGTTATTAATTTATTATCACGATTGTCACGAATCCTACTCGAGGATGTACGACGCGAAGTGCGCAATAATAAGCAGTTGTAGTAATATATAGTCATAGGCGCCGTCAGGAATTTCATCAGAGGGGTACATCCTGCATGGTATATACGCTGATTTCTAAAAAATGATTAAATTATTTATGTTAAAGAAGTTTTCAAATTTTATGGCAGTACAAAATTATTTTCGTTTTCTTTGACGGCTACAAAGTAATATAGGCTACTAGAAAATTCGATAATGATATTAATAATCTCTATACTACATTTCTTAATGTTATTCTTTTTTTTTTTTAATCCAATGGGGTGCAAGTGCACCCCATTGCATCCCTTTCATGGTGCCCATATATATAGTAGTTAGTGTAGTGGCGAAGAAATTGTTTTGAAGTAATTTCTCCTTCAAAATGTTAGATGGGTACCCATCCGGCCTCTGAAACAAAATATCAAGCCAACTAGGTTGGCTAGGAATATCATAGAAAATAGAAATATATTACGTATATAAATATTTATCTTGCTCGTGTAACCTACGTCCTAAACTCTACACCATAAAACAGGTTTATTATAGTTCAAAAATGTAATAATAAATTAGTGATCCGAAAACATCAGTATGTCGATGCAGATGGTCGTCGTCGATCAGATATAACGTGTCATTAGACTACTAAGCTTCTAGAAATTCGCTCAAAATAACTTATACTCGTACGATATAATAATAAAATAAAATCCTTGGAATCCCCACTGTCAACAATATTTTATTCAAATTACAAAAATAAAAGATAACTTCTAAACAACAACAATAAGAACTACTAAAAAAAAAAAAGCTCACAAAAATAAAATGTAATATATTACCACGATATTGGTGATACACGATTGCGCAATTTTTCCTTTTTTGATCCAACTAATTACACTACGATTGCGCTTCGATCTCTTTTTACCTGATAAAATCGCAACACCATTGCGTACTAAATTATATGTATATATACTATGTATAATAATTTATATACAATATAAAATAATGTATACAATACATACTTTCTATAATTTGCATATACAGGGTCTGGCAAAAATCCTCCCGTATTTAGAGCTTACGCTGTGTGAGTTGTGGTGTTGGTACAACTATGAAGGGGGTATCGATCGATAGCGGTGTACGTGCCATTTTTAGTAGGCGCAATGGCGTGGACTGGTTAACATCGTGCTTTTGTTGTAGAGGAGTATATACGTAATGGTGGTTCTGCGATTTCTACTTAGTGAGCATTTCGCATCCGGTTCAAACTTGGCCGACATGATTCTGTTCGGAATAGAAAAACAATGCTCGTTTAGGTGTCCAACTTTAGAGCAACGGGTTCTGCACTGAAGAAAAAACCACCTGGCCGACCTTTGACCATAACAACACCGGAAAATGTGTGAGGGCGTCCATCCAGAAATCTCCAAGGCGTTCAGCAGTTAAACATGCAGCTGCCCTGGGACTTTCTGATAGGAGTGTAAGAAGAATCTTGCACAGAGATCTTCATATGCACCCATACAAAATGATGATTACACAAGCACTAAGTGAGAGAGATTTTGAAACTCGTAGAGCGGTGTGTGAAGACATTCTTCAGAACATTCCCGCTGGTAATGTTTTGATTTTGTCTGATGAGGCCCACTTCCACTTGTCTGGTATTGTTAATAAACAAAATTACCTCTACTGGGCAGTAGAAAATCCTCAAGAACTTCATCAACGGCCACTTCACAGCCCATATGTGACAATTTGGTGTGCAGTATCTGATTTTGGTGTGTTAGGTCCATATTTTTTTGAAGAAAATGGACTATAAGTAACGGTTAATTCGGATCGGTATTGACAAAAGTTATGTTCAAAACAAAGTAATAATTGTATTTAATGTAAAATGGCATATTATGTGTAATTCAAAAATAAAAGAATTTGTTCTGTATCTTTGTTTATTAATTTGCAATTACTTTTTGAAATATGGGAGGTTTTTTTGCCGGACCCTGTACATGCATTCAAGCTATTAATTCAAAAAATGCATTTTTTCAAAATCGAAATGAAAAGTTGATTGAGCTAATGATAGGTATAATAATAATATCGACTAATGACTATCAGTATAGAATAAAAAAACAGTTTTTAATAAAAAAAATTTTAACTACTGACCATGTCAGTATATAAATTTAGCATACATGTAATTTAGAAAAAACGATTTTTAACCAAGCCAACGATGATAATTTTTTGATAGTCCTAAGTCTGTAATAATTGCGAAGAAAAATTGTGAATGAATTAAATAGGTAATAAGTTTGAGTGCATGTATATAAAAATCATATGTAGAAAGTATGAGTATTGTATACATTATTTTATGTTGTACATAAATTATTATACATAGTACAAATACACATATTATTATTTAGTGCGCAATGGTGTTGCGATTTTATCAGGTAAAAAAAGGATCTGGGCACAATCGTGTTGCAGCCCACAATATTATAATACGATCCAACGAGGGGAAACAGTTGTTCATGCCAAACATTTAAAAAAAATTTCTGTGGTGAAAATAGCATTAGAATAGATAAGAGGGTGGGTGGTTAGTTAGGTAACTTGTATCCTTTTTTTCTCCTTACCAATATGGAGTTCAACACGTCACTGGTAGTAGTTATAGTAATAGTAATTGTAATAGTAGTACTAGTAGTACTTGTTATACATTAATAATCTAACCATGTTCATAGTCACTAAGGGAAGTGATACCGCACGTCAAAAAAGATCGGCGATTGTCAAAAATCGAGACGCTCACATTGGCCAAGAACTACATCATCGCTTTGACAAAGATCATATGCGAAATGAGAGGCGAACTGGACCCATTCAAGGACCGACCGGAACCAGTGGGTGGCTCACGCACTGCCGCTTCCAGAAACACTGAATCTTCATCGTCCGTGGCAGCGGTGGCGACCGCGGCGGCTGCAGAAATCGACAGGCGACTGCAATTGGCATTACAAAATTCGGACGAATCAATGGATCTCTCTTAATCAATGGTCCTACCATTACCACTAATACCACCACTACCAAAACCATCTCCTTTACTTACATAATAATACCTGTATGGGAAAAATTTTAATTAATATCTAGTCAATTTTTCTCCTTCTTCGTTGAGTTATTCACTTTAATCCGGTATATATAAATATATAAGACACATATTAGTAGGCCGATTTTCTATAATTTATAACGTATATATAACATTTATACAGACAACTATGTAACCGAACCGAAATATTCGAAATTTATTTTGGATGTATGTGACCCAAATTTATAGGCATATAGCTGAAGTGCCACGAAGAGACAAATTTTTCTACTTTGGTCTCCTATACTTTGAGTAACATACAAAAAAAAAACATTTTGCGCAATGAACACTTGTTATTTTGTATAATAAGAATTATAAGAAATCCCGTTTTTGTCGTCATTCCCCTTGAATTTCCATGTGTAGATACCCTTCCAAATCATAGTTTCAAACATCCTTTTCTATACACTCCTTCTATATTTGTTTTTATTTTATCCCGGAAAAAAACCGAGACACCAATACACACTAAAATATTTATAACTATTATATTATTACTATTATTATTATTAATATTATTATAACTATTATGTATAATATAATATATAACAGTGGTTTTCAAACTGAGTGCTACAATCATTCTCTAAGAAAGCCATGACCTCTTGATTTTTTTTATAAACGACCGATTACATTACATTGTGATACATGAAAATGGATATGTTCAAACGTAATGCATCTGCAATTTATATATTATAGTTTATGTATAATAAAGTACAATTTTTTTTATCGACTTTGGTGTAAAAAATTAAATAACGACTTAAAATAGGTCTCAAAAATTTGTTTAGTTGCAGTGTTTAAAAATTTTTTTTGAAAACCACTGATATATAACATTTTATGTAGACAGTGTCTACTAGATATAGAAAAAAAAAATTCTGCGTAAGACTTATAATTGCGTTACTTTTGCATTTGCATGTATTAATATTATTATTGTGATTATTAAATATATACCTATATTGCTGATTATCTGAGTCATGGAATATTACGATTCAGAAGTGACTATTACACAAAATATATTATAATTTTATTGAGTATGATGCGAGATGATATCCTACTGTATTATCCATATTTAATGTATACGGTCCCTTTTTTAAAACATAGCCAATTAATTAAAATGTGATTTATATTTAACAATAAGGAAAAAAGATAATGGATTTCAATCGGCTCAAATAAAATTCTCCTCGACATATTCGTTAAAAAGCTTTTTCGAAGCTTTCTCTTTTTCTCACTCTCTCATATCCATATGCACACACATTCAATTCTCACTCTCACTCGTATCCTTAAAATGATACAACACGAGTGCAATATAATATACAGTTCAACAAAAATGTATAATTACCCAAAAAAGAATTAATATTTTCACTTATTTATTATTAACAAAGAATAAAATACTGATATCCACCGAGAGAACTCGTGCAAATGATATAAATTATTATTATAATAATAATATTTCCAATATATCTTTTCAATATGATGGATATTTTTACACGTAATCATTAATAAAATATATCATGTAAATTGCTTAAACCATAATATTTAGTAAATGTTTATGAAATTGCAATGAAAGAAAATATTGATAGTTGTATTACTTAAGTAGTTTAATAATTAAATATTTCATTAAAATATTGACATATATTGGTAAGCAAAATTAAATTATCAACAAAATAATATGTTGTTAAAAGACTCTATTATTTGAATTTATAATATATTTATATATTATTGAAATTATAGGTACTCACTTATTTTTTTATAAAATTCTATAGTTACATTTTGGACATTAAATAAAGTTAAAAATTATTTTTTTTAACAACTAAATTTATTGTAATTGTTTTAAACTAATAATATTTTGTAGTTGTATTTGTAATTATATAAAAGGTAGAATGATAATTGTTACCAAAAGTTAATAAAAAAAAATTGTTAAGGATATGTAATATATTATAATAAATAAATAAGCCTTATTAAACAAATTTAATTATCAATTATTACTATAAAACATACATAAATTATTATATATGCTAATAAAAATTTAATTTAATGTTTTGATTAATTTAAATCTAAAAAAGTAACAAATAAATCTTATAATATTAAATATATTTTTAGTATCAATCAAACATTAAAGAATGATTTAATATTTATTTATTTGATCATATTTATGAATATCTGATACGCGTTAAATATTTTGTTTCAAGTATTAAGAGGGAAAACAAAATGTACTATCTATTTGATTTGATACACATACGAGTACTTTAATATCATTAAAAATACTTAAATATTAACAATATTATTATTATCAATTTTATTAATACACATTACATAAAACATTTATGTAATAAGTAATATATTTTGATAACTTTTTTTGAGTAGGTAAACTAAAAGTATTTTATTAGATATGAATTTAAACTATTTATTTATTTTATAATCTGTGTTATATACAACTATTCATCGCTAATTTTAAACTCTTATGTCTTACTATATGTACTTAATTATTATATCTATAAAACTATACGTTATGTCGATAATTTTTGTCCTATTGCCTATTTCACTGTAATGTTATATTACAGTAATGATATTATAACAAAATAAAATGTAATTCATAAAAAATATATTGTTCGCAATATTATACCTAGTCAAATAAATATTATATTTTTGTTGAGCACAAAAAAATTGTCTTTTTTTTTAATTCCTATTTAAAGTATTTGATGAAAAACTACACAAATACCACAATTTTATTCATAAAATCATTTTGGTGATTCATTCTATAAGAAATTGGTTTGATTTGAAATTTTCCTTCAAATCAGTTCTATAAACCAATTATACGTAAGTATACTAAAAATGTAAGCATAAGAATTAAAAATATTTCTTATTGTTAAAAATAAAACTTAACATGCATAATACAAGGATTTTGGTGATTTTTTTCAATTGAATCCAGATAATAAGTAAGTAAATTGAGAAATATTTATAACTCTTTTTTTTAAGACGTTAGGTATTTTATATTTTTTTCTATGATTAATAATTCAATATATATATTTTATTAATTAAAATAGAGGGTACTAGTTATTAATTTTTATATTTCAAACGATTATTTATAAATATATGTTTTGATGAGTAACGAAAGGTTTACTATTAAAAACATTTAAAATTACATATATTTAATACAGTCAAAATTAATAAGAAACTAATATACACATTACAAAAATTTGTAATAAATAATTTATTTATATAATAGAAAGTATAGGTGCAATTGAATCAATACATAAACATATAATAAAAAATCAATAAATGAGTATAATATCGAAAACTGAAAGACATATCGAAATGACAGTGTTTATTAAAATATATGTTCTGCAGCAATAGGATAGACTATGTATGAGAGGGTGTAATTATTACATAAAATAATTTTACAGTGCTTCCTTCCAGACAATATTAGCTAATATAAGCAATAATATTAGTATTGTTTGTAAGTTGTTTATTGTTATATCACTGGATAAGTGAAGCCAATGAGAACACATAACTTTCCTCTAACTCAGCGAATTTAAGCAGTTAATAGCTCAAAAGTAAGAGCATTATCCACTGAGTGTTCTTAGACTTGTGTTAACAGCCTACGTTAATTAGAACTGTAGGTAGTTGTTGAGGTTGAAGTGAAGGAAAATCTTGAAAATATTTAATGTAAAGTTGATTGTTCACGCATAACTTTCCTCAAACTTAACGAATTTAAGCAGTTCATAACTCAAAAGAAAGAACTTGATCCAATAAGTGTTCTTTGAGTGAAACAATCAAGATCCATTCATTAGAATAGGAGCTATGAGAATACGAATGTTGCTTGAATAAGTGTCTCCCATAAGAAATGTACAGGTAAGAATCGCGTTGGTGGGAGTTGAGTAAATTTCAATGATTGATGACATATTTGTGTTTAAATACCTTTCATTAAAAAAAAAAAAATGAAGGAAATCGGCCAGAAAGAACGGCCAGACTGACTTTAGTTTTCATAAATTATTTTAATGTATAAGATAAATTATTCAGTATATTATATACATACCTAGTTATGAATCAATAATGATAATATTTTTAATAAAAGATTAGCACCAATTAAAAAATTTTTTTTAAAAAAATGTAATTATTAGATAAATAGTGTAATTAATAATTGAATGTAAGGTAGTAGAATATAATGTGTGTAAGTGTAGGCATCAATGAGAATTATAATATAGGTTTATAAAATCATAACATAATTTAATTGGCAAAAATTATATATTATTAACTAATTTTAATATTGAAATAATATTATTTACTTATTTATTTATATTAATATTATTAATTTTAGAATTATAAATCAATATTATCAATATTTTGAATTATCATCAATACCTACATGAAATATTAGAAATTTCGTATTTAAAACAATTTTAAGAGCGGGTTTTCTTATAACTTCTATAAAATAACACAAAACACTTTGCCGATCGATATTTTAACGTTATACCGAGATTATAAAATATATATTTTGAAATTTTAATATGAGATTTTTAGGAAAAGAGAAAAAAATGTCACCTCAGGTGGATATTAGTCATTAATTCTGTACTGTCAGTTGTCACTATACTTCATCGATTTTCTTCAAACATGTCGAAACCATACGATATGTTATTATGTATATTCAAAAGATGTACGTGTAGTTTCATTTCATAACTTACGTAATTTTTTTTTTATACATTTCCTTATAAATAAAAAAAATGACATAAAATTTAGATCATAATTATGTTGAATACAGTTAATTAATGGATACATTTAATGTGAAATATTGAATAACTCGCCTACATATTTAATTAGTAAGAATTTGGTTAACAATCCAAAAATGTCAAAATAAATTAATTATATGCAAGGATAATAATTCAACATGATAATTTATTTGTTTGTTTTTAATGTAAATAATTAAAAATTAAACCCTCAAATGTAAATTACATTCACGAGCTATTGTTTTTTAAATTCATAAACACCGTAATTTGATATGTATTAATATTATATTATAAATTCTATCTAGTATGAGTTGAGAATCATACCTATGCGGTATATCTGATCGTATGTATAAGTTACGTTCATGAAGTCAGTCCTACCAATTTTACAGATAAACTTTAAACCTATGTCAGTATTTTTTAAATTAATTGTTAATAATTTCAAATTAGTTTTTATAATTTATTAATTAAATCTCTAATTTTGGTGAATATTTTGCAATGAGCTGATGAGTCTAGACACAAATCTCTTATGTTACTAGGTATCGACAATGACACAATGTACGATTTTTATTGGCTCTTGACAAGAAATAATCATTTATACATTTATTTCATTACTTAAACTAATTACTTTCAACTACTCAACCATTTAAATTATATTTTTAAAACTTTATTAAATCAACGATATGAGCACAATATATTCGTAGATGATTATAAAATATGATTTTTTTTCAATAACCATAACATGGTTATTATAACCATATTATAACTAACCTATATATTATATACTAGAATGCTGCCTGGCAAAAAAATACCAAAATAATCTAAAAAAATTAAATTGTTTACATAATGAATCAGTAAATCTCCATGGATCAAAATATTTTCGGGGAACTATTTGATTATTCTGGGGACATTTTGATCTACTCAGAAAATGAATAATTATTTTACAAAATGGATCAATATGTCTCCAAAAGGATTAAATTATCTTCATAGAAATGCATCGTGTGAAAATGTGCCCAAAACGGATCTAAATATG